TTCCAGATTTGGAATCAGCATTAAATTTCAATTCGGAAAATCGAAGTTTTAAAAAAAGCTTAAATCAATTTCCAAAAGTAGGCAGTCACCTTAAGTGTGCTCAAGTCTGCATGGTTGACATAAATGAACTATAGCGTTGGAATCTGAATCGCAATCGTAAAAGATGCTTATAAATGACTAGTGTGAACTAAAAATGGGAGTTCAAACCGAAATCGGAAGTAGAAGGGCAACGGGGTCGTGATCGGCAAGGTCAGGTTTTCTTTTTATTACGATTCCGATTCGATTATGACAGTCATTATCCTGTTTGAACCAAAGAATCAAAACCGGAATCGCATACGGATAATTTGACCAATCACAGAGCTCGTACCCATGCCAATTAGAGCAAACACTCGCGGGAAAACAACAAAGAAGCGAACGCCGAAGCGCTTACTGGAGTGAGTATAGACCTAATCTACGGTTTTCTCACTGTTTTCAGACTATTTGTCATTCCCTAGAGTATTATTTCTTTGTTTAATGGTTGCGCATCAGAAGATATATGAATATGGATACCACTCAAACAAAGGATCTTGTTCTCCAAAGAATGACACGTGATCTGAAATGGGAAATTTTGGAAAATGGGGACACGTAGGAAAATATTGGCACATGGGAAAATATTATGTCAATTATTCAAGAGTGACGGTTTATTAACAAAAAATGATTATCATCCGAATAATAAACGTTAAAAAGATAAAGTTAAGCCAGAACGTGTTCTTTAAAAAACCTTTATAATTCTCAAGAATAACACCCTAATTAATGCATAAACCTCTCGGTGAGGTTTTAGAGAAAGAAACTTAAAAATTAAACATGTTTATTTTCTTATCTTAATATAACAATAGTATTTTTGGTTTGAGTACAACCTCACGGCCGCCATATTAGATGGATACTTGATAAACGTTTCCCTAACATGGCGGCCATGCATGAGGTCATGTCTTTCGTCATTTTCTCCATTTTGCGATTATTTTTCTAACAAATGATTGTCATCTATTCAGATTTGAAATTTTTTTGTAAACATAGTTGTCGTTTATCTTTTTCCATGAGAATAAGAGGACAAAAGACGTAGCCGCTATGCTAATACAATAAATAGAATGACAATAGAACAAATGTAGGATATCTGTTTGGCACGACAGTAGAAACCAAGATGTCGGCTTTATATGATGTCACGCGAACCCTATGTTATTCTTGAAAAAACAAGAAGCCATTATAATTTTTTTATGATTCTCTTGAAAATAATTCTAAAACCATGAACATGTTGTCTTTTTTTCCAGATTTCAAAGAACCTCTCGTAGCATTAGCCACCAAAGGCATGAGTGTTGCTCCTCACGATTTAAAGAATCACTCGGACCGTAACGACGAAATCCCCCAGATCGACGGTGCTCCACACCCAGAGAAAATACTCAAAGATAAGGTGTTACGAACACATGTCAAGTCTAGCAGCACAGGCCACTGGAAGATGTCATTACACCCGTATAAAATAGAGTACGAGTTAGAAACCCTCCCTTCCAAGGACACGTTGAAAGAGGAAATTACTTCAGTCCAAAATATTGATCGAAAAACGACAGCAGTCGATGAGGGTAGTGATGATAAAGCTTGTTCCACAAAATTTTAGAAAATATTGGGAGAAGGGTATAACTGTTTTCACTCCGGTTTTTACTTGCCTATTTTTATGTTCCGACTTCAATAGCATTGGCTTTATTCCAATGTACATATGCCCCAAAATCAATGAGCGATTTAACACAATAGAGGATTTGCACCATCACGTGGTGCCGGCGCCCGTAATAAAGCTTGGACTGCCTGTGGTTAGATGGCAGAACAATAAAATCCCTTTGCTCTCGGGAATTGAATTCTTTCTCATGTAAAACAATTTTATTGTTCCTGCCGTCACTTGGTGGTGCAAAACCTGTATAAAAGGTAGACCTTTCTGAATGAAGTTTTTGAAAATCTAAAGTAAACAACACTTGGCACATTCGATAATGCCTGTATCTAGGTTGCTCTAAAATATAAAAACAGATAAAATTTATCACAAATTACATGGCTTGCGAACTTGCCAGGACAGAGGACCGTTAAGGTATGTCTCATTAAGGACAAAGAAAACAAAACTAAACACTTCGTAGGTCTTCATATCGTATCGCAAAAAATACCATATTTTTTCTCTTCTTGGCGAGTTAATAGCATAATTATGCAGCTTCTCATTAATCCCATATTGATGGTTTTCAACCATTCCCAAGAGAATTAAATAACAAAAGACATGGCGGCCATGTTGGAGGATATAACAAAAGAATTCATTGACAATTCTTTTGTTAAGTTCCTCCAACATGGCCGCCATGAAAACCATCAATAGGTAACTGTCCAATTATTTTCTTAATTGGACAGGTCTTGTTAATATGGGATTAATTAAGCAGCTATATAATTAATAGGTAATGGGATTTCATGCTGTCCAATCAAGAAATAATTAGACTTGAAAAATTCCTCTGACTGCCAACGGCCTACGGCCTCATACAATTTTGGAAGTCGGAATTTTCCTTGTCCAATTATTTCTTAATTGGACAGTCACCATGGAGTCCTATTACATATACAAAATCTACTTTATGTATCTACTAAATATATTTCTTGCCAAGAAAAAGGGATTTTTTTCGTTATTTAGTGCGGTATCTTTCCTTTTATTTACATTCTCGCCTGGCTAAAATCCTGTAGAATGCCAACCACAATGGCCGATTTGATCACGTGACCTCTTAGTGCAAGTCGCCTATTTCACAAGATTCAAGGGAATGTATAAAGTACTAGAACCCAGCTCCGTGCGGACAAGCATGGTGATTTTGGATGAAAATTTTAGATTTAGTGGTTTATAGCTCGTCTATTAGTACGATGACCCCCTATTTTTTTCTTTAAATATTAATCTTTCAGCGTGAGAAATAAAAATACTATGTCCACGCTGTGGATCACACCGAATTCTCGACATATTTATAACAAGGAACGTATTTTGAGGTGACGAATTGCGTACGATTTTGCTTCTAGAATTCAGTTTAAAGCTTATTTGCATCTCATTGAATAAATTTTATAACTTGAAATGCTAGATAAACTAAAGATCCGTCGTTTAGATCACTCTAGGCTTTTTGATCGCCCCCC